AGATCTGGCAGGAGAACATTTTTCCTGATGCTTGGCACCAGGCTATTGTCCTCCCTTTCTCTATGCCTGGGAAGGATCCCCATATTCCATCTAATTACCATCCAATCATCTGTAAGTTCTTAGAGAGGATGGTTAATGCTCATCTTGTTTGGTTCCTTGAATCAAACAACCTTCTCTCACTCACTCAGTGTGGGTTTTGTCAACAGCTTTCCACCATGGACCACCTGATTCCACTTGAAACCTTGATCAGGGAAGCCTTTCTCAAGAGGGAATATGTTGTTTCTGTTACGAAAATAGTACAGAATTTTGCGGGACCTCCGTTCATATGGGTTGTGTGGCCATTTGCCCATTTTTATTCATAATTTTTTACTCGACAGGCGATTCCAAGTTTGTGTTGGTTTGACTCTTTCCCATTCTTTCACACAGGAACTTGGAGTCCCTTAGGGCTATGTCTTGATTGTCACACTTTTGAGTATCAAGATTAATGCTATCACAACACAAATTCTCCTACTGTTGCAAAAGAGCTCTATGTCGACAACTTCCACATCTTGCGTCAGTCGTCAAACATGAAGTTTATTGAGCAGCAACTTCAGACTGCCCTCAATTTCTTGTTGAAGTGTACCACAGCAAATGGTTTTACCTTTTCTTTTTCCAAAAGTATTTGCATGCATTTTTGCCACCAACAGGGTCTACAACCCAATCCCGAGCTCTGTTTTTGTTCTTCCCGTGGTCCCTGAGGCAAAGTTCTAGGGGCTTATCATTGACTGTAAGCTTACTTTTACTCCTCACATGAAGCAGCTACGTGTCAAGTGTACAAGGGCACTGGAGATTCCTCCATGTCCTGTATTGAAGGATCAACTTCGCACCAGTTGGCAGGCAACATGGGGGGAGTAATGTCGTAACAAGCTTTTCCAGATCAAATATTCTGTTACTCTTTGACCATCATGTTTCTGTAGGGATCGGAAGGAGGAAGTTGTCCAGGCTAGGCTACCCAGTGGTCACAATTTTTTAACTCATCGTTTTCTTTTATCTGGTACTGACCCACCAATGTGTAGCCTTTGTGACACAATGTCACAATAGCCCACATTTTACTGTCATGCTGTTGTTCGACTGTGAGCGGTGGCACCATTTTAGACAAATACTTTCTACAGGTTTTCCCCAGACAATGGAAGGTGTCATTGGTGATGGTGACACTGTCCAACTGGACTGTGTTTTTAGCTTTTTGAGGTTTTAGGCCTTTTTAATTCTATTTAAATATTTTATCTCAATATTGGACATTATTTCATTTTACTTTTTACAGTTTTTACCGGTTGTTTGGTGCAGATAGCCTATTTGCTTTGCACCAAAAAATGCCAACCAAAAACTTTAAAAACAAACTCTGTGAATATTTAAGTATTTTAACATTAAGTACTGTAAAATATTCTCATGTAATTATTAGCAACCAAAACAATAATAATTCATTTTAATTCAACTTGGAATGTTATCAGTAATCATAATGGAAATCTTTTGTTATGCTTTGTATTCATAATTCATGTAATTTATGAGTTGCCATCAAATTTCAGAACATCCTTTTGCTGTTTTCTGGAAAGGAGTAATTCAATGACTTTATCAAAGGGAAAAACACTTGTCTTCCATGTCATGGTTCACAAACAATAAGCCATTATTCTGAAATTTCAGTCTTCTTCTATGCACTCAGTTTAGCTGCAACATATCCAAGGAAGTGCTTTTGCCCAACCTTTCTACTAGATTTGCCCCTTTTTTTTTAGTGCAAAATCAACTACCACCTACATGCCTGTTTTCAAGTGGGAACATGGCACTTTAAAAACTTCATGATGAGAATTTGGAGAACCAGCTAGGCAATTCTCACTCAGTCACCTCTACTTCCAAAAATAGTTGTTAATCTTCATCAATTTTTTGTTCTACTTCTTGTACTTCCCCATCACTTTCTTGCACCATTTCTTCTTCATTTTTGTGTTCTGTGGTAAACTCTGCACTTTCCTTCCCTGCTTAATTCTTTGATTCTAGTTGTTGAAAATCAGTTCTGGTGACACATTTTCAAGGTATAATGTTGTGTTCTTTTCTTTGTGGGGCATCAATACCATATCTTATCTCTTGGGGAAGGGCAGTCAAACAGTCATCTACTGTTACTGCTGCTCCTATTTCACTCTTAAGCCGAGTATTTCTATGCTGTCTCTAGAAAAATCTTGCCCATTCAGTTCCAGTTACACTGTCATAAAACTTTCTGATCAGTAGTTCACATCTAGAAATCATCATGAGGTCAAATGTGTTTAATGGACAATCCCAGTTACAAAAAGTAGCTAGTCTTTTAAGAAACTGCTTCTCCACATCCTCACTGAGGCTTGGTTAACCACCATGTTAGATTTTCAGCCTTTCTGTATCTTGTAACTGATTTTACAGCCCTTATGGCATTCTGCATTTCCTTCTTCCCTTGTTTTTTATAGTTTGTGGCCAAAGGTTGGCTTATAATTGTGATGAATTGTGTTTCTACCCCAGTAATATCACTTTTTATGCACAAAATGATCTGAACAAATTAATCTACCCAGTAATATCCCTTTTTTATGCACAAAATGATCTGAACAAATTAAAACAGCATGCCAGTTTTTCTCTCTCCCCAATTTACGGCTGACAACTTTTTTTAACTGCACATCCAATTCAGTCTCCCCCTGCCAGTAGTTTGATCTACAGATACAAAGTTTTTACCCCATCTGGGTTGTCAAAAGTTTGATGCAACTCAAACTATTGTAATGGAAGCAACCTGGTATCAAATTACCTCACCTACTCATCTACCCTTTGTGAGCCAATGCTATGGGACTTCCATCAAAAAATAGCCTGTTTTTATAATACTTATTGGCTAATAGACAAACATGAAAAACTTATATTCTATTTTTTCCCTATTCACCCCACATTATAGTCAATAGCTTTATACCTCCCAATACTAAAACCCATCTGCTGATTCGATGAAGTTAACTTATGATAAGAGATCTACTGAAGTCAGCTTCGTACCAGGAGACAAGGTATGGTTGTATAATCCCAGGAAGACCAAAGGGAAGTCTCCTTAGTTGTCTTCTCCATGGGAAGGCCCATATGACATCGTGGATCGTCTCTCAGATGTGACTTTCCGGATAAAATGTGGTCGGCGAGGTAAGCCAAAAGTGGTGCATGCCAACAGGCTTTGGCGTTATCACGGTCCAGGACAT